CCCCCCCCACCCACCCCCAGGACGAGCTGGCCGAGACCCGCAAAGGACTGGAGTACACCCAGTGAGCCCCAGAACACTGCAGGCAGCGAGCCCTGGAACAACACGTGGGCCGCGAGCCTGGAGCAGCGTGGAGAAGTCCCACCGCTGAACACGGAGCAGTGTACAGGCAGCAAGTCTGGGACAGAGACCGGTGTGAGGGGACAATCCTTACCTTAGGGCACTGTAATGTTAACCCCTTAACATATTCCTACTTTTAACTTATTCTCAACTATGTAATCAAGCAACTACTTTTATCCTTCTGCTGTATCCAAGAATTGTACCTAGGTACTTGCACCTAAAATGTTGCCATTAGAAGGCAGACATTGTAAACATTTTTCACTGTACTCCTACAATGGGACACACATGACAATAAAAGGATATTGTACTGTACTGTATTGGATATTGTATTGTATTGTAAATAATGCCTGACAGATTACTGACAGGGAATGGTGTCACACAGGATGCTGAACATTACTGGGGCCCTGCTACAAAGTGAAGGACGATCCTGGGCTGTGTGACGTGTAACCTCAGTTACTACGATTTCCAGATAATGTATATGCACTTACCACCACCTTGATGTGTTTGGCTAAGTCTTTGGAGCTTCGCATTAGGAAATCTGAAAATGCCGTCTGAAGAACACAAAGAGAGGGTGACAGAGTTACACAGGGTGAGCAACACTGAAACAAAATGTGGGGGTAGTCACTGTTACACCCAAAGAACTGAGGACAAACCCATCACAGAACTTGATGAATAAAGCACGTTTTAACATGAGTTATTCCCAATCCTGAACCACCTCATCAATGGTCCACACCAATCTCAGGAGTACACAGGAGGGAACCCCGTTCTCAGGCCAGAAATGATAGGATTTCAGTTGCTGAGAATGAGCAAAAAAGTGACTCAATGCAGTACATTTCCTGTTCACACTTCTGTCTTGTCCTTGCTTCCCAGGATCCAACGCCAACTCCTCAGACCTGGTGCACTGAAGAAACAAACACTGGGCACATTTCACGAGCGGACAGGGCACCACCATACGTGTGCACTCGATAAGCAGCCCTTCAACAGAAGTTTCATCTTCCCTCAGTCTACTCATTTCTCCTCTCCAGCCCCCACTTTACTATTTTGCTGTAAACATTGACACTTCCTCCAGTGATCATCACCTTTTATCTGGTCCCCACAACTCTTTAGTCATTCAGTCACTCCTGTCTACCACCCATTCACACGACTTTCCCTTTTGCTGCTTTTTGTCACATCCCATTCTTGCGTACCCCATCTCACCACTTCCACTTGCTTCAGAAACGGTGAAAGCTCTAAGATCCTATTCCAAGAATGTCAACTTGAAGCATTACCTGTGGCTCTATCCCTCTGTCTAGTTGGTGATTAACACTGGCACTCTCTCTCTCTCTCTCCCCCTCTGTTGGTGCTCAATCTCAAAGTGTTTTCACTAATTTCTATTTTGGAATGCTAACATCCTAAAGTACGGGGTTCCCATAGCTCTGTACTGACGGCAAATCATTTCATTTTAAAAATAAATCATGGAAGCACGGCAGGTTTCGGCTGAGCACTACCACACATAACCAGTGCAGCAAACTGTTTCATTGGTAAATAAGTCTGGGTTTCGGTCATATTCCAACTATGAAATAAACGCAATAGCCAAAGGCTTACCGTGAATTGTTATTGCTACATACCCCAGCGTAGAACATTTTGTTTCTAAAGCGACTGTTAAATTTCTCAGGCTTGGCCTCTGGAACAGAAAATTGAGTATCAGAGACAGCTTTCAGTTAAACTGAAAAACAAATCACTCGGCCTGTCACTCAGCGTTGAGTCTGGCCATCATTCCCCACTTACTGCATTGTCAGCTCTCAATCCCCAATCGAGGTTTAAAAATAGACGTTCTTCTTGTTTCAGAACTGATTTCGTACCGAGCTCGAGGCCATCTAAATCTTTTGTGTTAAGTTGACAGCTATTCAAACCACGCATCGTGAGCGCTCTCTGGCCCAGAAGACAGTCACAGTTTTAGTTGGCCAGTTAGGAGAACGTTGGTGTGCAAGCATTTGGTGCTAAACGAGCGACAAGTTATCTTGTGAATGTGGAATTCGGGTGTAAGGATCTCTGTGTTATTGGGAGCCAGGCGGCGTTCAGCTCTATTCTGTAGTGGTGTTTCTGCTGCTGTTTCATGCCAGAGAGCTCAAAGTAGAACAAGTCACCAACGTTTAAGAAACCAAAAGAACGAGCAAAAACTACTGAGGGACAACACTTGGGAAAGCAGTGAAGGCTGCCCTTGACTGCTCGGGTTGCTTTGAGCTGGTAGCGACGGACATGCCTCCTTTATGAACCACTTCAGAGCATCGGCAACTGGGGTCCTAGATAGGAGAGTGCTAATCCATTGTGACATGTCACAACGTGGTCTGACACAGACGCTCATCCCAAACAAACCTGAGTTACACCAAATAGGTGGCAATTCCCCTTCAATGCGGCCACACTATTTGCAATGAAATCTTCCATTCACCTAAGGAAGATCTTCTAAGATAGCAATAAGGATTTGCAGTGAGGGACTAGGGCGGGAGCAAACACAAACTGGCCTTGATGGTTGCAGGAGCAATTCCCATTGTCACATACCTCGGGACTCATGAAACTCCAGAGTCACATGGGCATCAAATCCAAGGCTGAAGTAGTTGTTGAAGACATCGAGGGGGAGCTGTGAAGAGAAAGGCAAAATGCATCCTTATGAAACAGCAGGAGTCGCACCACGTTTTCCATTGGGTTTTCCTATAGGAAGTGCGAAAGCCATACTTGTCAGCTGGCGTATCAACAAGCTTGGCTCATGTGCAAACTCAAGGGGGGCCTTTCACAGCCAGATGTGTGCAGCGCATGGAACTGGCTCATCTGAAGGATCACTCATAGCCAGATGTGCACAAGATGCATGTTTGATGGGTGCACATCTAGCTAAGATGCACCACCATGAAAGCCCCTCTTGTATCTGCTGCTGACTCACTCCAGACTAGACAATGCACTGGCCTTTGAGGGACAAATGTTCATCAGATTGGTAGGGCTCACAATCCCTGAATAAGGAGGTTGGCCACTGAGAACTGGCGCGAGGAGACATTTTAATAAAAACCAAAAGAACTGCAGATGCTATAAATCAGGAACAAAATCAGAAGTTGCTGGAAAAGCTCAGCAGGTCTGGCAGCGTCTGTGAAGAAAAAAAAAAATCAGAGTTAACGTTTCGGGTTCGGTGACCCTTCCTCAGAACAGTTCGTTAACTCTGACTTTTTTCTTCACAGACGCTGCCAAACCTGCTGAGCTTTTCCAGCAACTTCTGTTGGTTTATGAGGAGACATTTTGTTGCTCAAAGGATTGTGAATCTCTGGGGAAGATGTAAATACTCGGTCATCAGGAATCTAAAATTAGAGCGATAGATTGATTTTCAGATACGTGGAGAATTCAGTGACATGGGAATGGCGGGGGAGGGTGAAGCTCGGAGCGATGATCAGCCCTGATCTTATTAAACGGTAGAATAAGATCAAAGGAACAGATGCCTCAAGCCTATTCTCAGTTCTTTTGCTTTTATGTAGCAAAACAAAAAAAACAAAATTTGAACCTGCCCACTCATCCGGAGATGAAGACAGGCCTGATAACAATGTCTAAAAACAGCATTGTGTACAATTCTGGTTTCCATATAACAAAAAGAACATAGAGGCACTGAACAAGATATAAAAAAAAATTTCAAGGACGATACAAGAATTCAGAGTTTGTAACCATCAGAAAAAGACTGAATAGGTTGAAACTATTTCACCTAGATGAAAGAGGGTTGAGAGGCGAGTTAATAAAATCCTTCGAAATGACAGAACTTTTCATAGAATCCCTACAGTGTGGAAACAGGCCTTTTGGCCCGACATGTCCACACCGACCCTCAGAGCATCCCACCCAGACCCATCCCTCATAACCCACCTAATCTACACATCCCTGAACACAATGGGCAATTTAGCATGGCCAATCCACCTAACCTGCACATCTGTGGGAAGAAACTGACGCAGACATGGGGAGAATGTCTGTGTGGAATTTGCATAGTCGCCCAAGGGTGGAATCGAACTTGGGTCACTGGCGCTGTGAGCTAACCACTGAGCCACCTTGCTGCCCTTTATAGGTTAGATGCAGAGGAGGTGTTTTCAATTGTGGCAATAGTCCAAAACTAGAGCTAATAAATGTTAGATAATAACTAACAAATCTATAGAGAATTCAAGGGAAATGTCTTTCCATAGATGTGGAACTTGCTCTCAAAAGGAGCAGTTGAGGCAAATAGCTATAGGTGCTCTGAAGGGGAAGCTAGATAAACAAAGAGAAAGGAAGAGCAAGTTAAGCTGATAGGCTCAGATAGAGGGGGCTGGGAGAACGCTAACGTGGAACTGCAACACAGCTGAGGGCTGAGTGGCCTGTTTCCACACTGTGTATTCAATGTGTATTAAATTACTGCTTTTGCATTAATATCAATCCATCAGCTACCTCCAACTCCCTGTGCACCTCGGCTTTCACCCTAACTGCCAACATCTGCCTTGCAACTTCCCTCTCTCGCCCCATCATTGCTTCCCTCTGCCATCCTCCTCGCCCCTCTGCTCTGCTCTACCCTCGTTGCCCTCCTTTTCTTGCTGCTCCCCTCTTTGCTCGTCACTGCTCCCATCTGCCTTCCCTTCACCACTCCCCTCTCTGCTCACCTGCGACACCATCCCCCCCAACCCTCGCCAGTCCCCTAAATCTCCCTGCTCCCCACTTCCCTCCCCTCTCCCATCCTGCTTGCTACTTCTTATTTCCCTCTCTCTGGTCACTCCACGTTGAGAGAGAAGCAGCGTTGAGGACCAGGAGGAGGGCTGTGTGAGGGAGACAGTGAGCAGAACATGTCAGAGGAAGCAAAGGGGTCAGGTGGCGGAGCAATTAGTAGTGGCAGAGCGAAGTACAGGGAGTGAGAAGCAGAGGGCGAGGGAAGCGGAGAATCAGAGGGAGCGAGGTAGTCAAGAGATGCAGTGAGCCAGAGGGGAAAGACAGGCAGTGAGCCAGAGAGCGAGGGAGGATGTCAGCGGGTGGCAGAGGGAAATGGCAGGGAGCCCACGAGAGAAAAACAAGGGTACAGCCGATTTGCCTGTAGAGTTTTTTAAGTGAGTAACAGTAGTGAGTTAGAAAGATTAGTATCTTAGGAATATTCAGTAATAAGTGAGAGCAGGAATTTAGAAAGAGTAGTTACTTAGTAAAAGCAGTAGGTCAGAAATAATAAGTAAGAAACAGCAATACGAGTAGTAAGTTAGTAATAGCAATGAGTAGGAAGATGATTTTTGGGTCAGTAATTTGAAGGCAGAACTAAGTTTTTAGTTAAAAACTGGAGATCAGGAACATAACCCACACTAATGAGAAAGTGACTTTTATTAAGTATGTTTTCATTTAGGGTGCAGCTTTTTATTGAACACATCGGGTCTTGAAAATGTGAGGTAACAATTGGTAGAAACATTGCCCAGTTTACAAGGGAAAACCCCAGTGACTGACAGTGGGATCATTTTAATCCACCTGAAAAAGCACATTGGGCTTAGTTTAAAGTCTTATTCAAACACATCAGTACCTCTAACAGTGCAGCACTCTCTCAGTACTGCAGTGGGGTGTTAGCACAGATAGTGCACTCTCCAAGTACCTACAATGGGACTTGAACTCAGAACCTTCTGCCCAAGAGCAAGTGTTCTCTCCATTGGATCATGGTCAACTCCTCTGAACAATGACTTACTGATCAATCAATATCTGCACATTAAAACCAATCCTCACCCCTCAGGTAAAAAAGAGGCGAGGAGGATGTAACAATTCTGTACTGTACAACACCAGCATCTAATCACACAGCACCATTAACGGACTGATACTTCCAAAAGTGTCCCATTAGGAGTTGGGAGATGTTGGCCATGGCTGTGGCTAAAATGTTCGAATTGAAAGGCTCTGGCTAAAGAGGTAGACACACAAATAGGAAGCTGGTAGAACACAGCAAGCCATCTGCAGGAAAGGAAAAGTCAACATTTCAGGTATTAACCTTCTTCAGGACTGGATGTGGGGGTGGGTAGCGGAATGATAGTGATTAGGTGGTAGGTATGAGCTGGTTGGTTGATGGGAGGGATGAGTCCGGTTGGTGGCTGGAAGGAAGGGTCAGAAGGTAGAATGGGAGGGAGGAGGTGGGGCTTGAAGGGGTGCCGGGGGATGGGTGGGAAGGTTATTTGAAATTGGAGAACTCAGTGTTGAGTCCTCCAGGCTGTAGGGTGCCCAGGCGGAAGATAAGGTGTTCTTCAAATTTGAGTTCTGATTCACTGCAACACTGGAGGAGGCCGATGATGGACATGTTGGAGGGGGAGTGGGACGGGGAGTTGAAATGGGCAGTGACCGGGAGGTTAGGTTGGCCGTTACGGACCAGGCAAAGTTGCTCAGCAAAACGGTCACCCAGTCTACGTTTGGTCTCACTGATGGAGAGACGATCACATCGGGAGCACCGGATGCAGTAGACTAGGTTGGAGGAGATGCAGGTGAAGCTCTGTCTCACCTGGAAGGACTGTTCAGGGCCCTGAATGGAGGTGGTGTGTGGGCAGGTGTTGCATCTTTTACGGAAAAATACAGCCCACCTTCCACCCCCGTTTGGGGCAAGAGTGGAAAGTGCTACCAACAGCTCCGGCAGCAACAGGAGCCGTCTTCTCCTCACCCCGTTTCCCGTCTGGTGAAGAGTGAACCAACACTGCAGTGATTGGCAGCATGTCCTATCCCACTGAGGACAAGGCAAAGAACAGCAGCTCTTTGCCAATCCCAAGCACTCCATGGCACATGATGGTAATCTCTGTAAAGGGCCGAGGATCTCAGACACTGACCTTCTCTGCAGCTGTTTCATCGCGTTCGTCAGGAACCGCGCTCGCATTTCTCTCCACATACAGGTTCCACCGATCCAGCTGCACAATGTTGCCATCTTCCACGTGAGACAGGATCTTGGAAACAGGCTCGTCCGTGTATCCCTGAATCCAAGAGTAAGAGACCAGGGTTAAAATAAACTCCTGTCCCTGATCCCTCACAATCAGGTGCTGCTTCCTTCAATAGCGATCACAGCGTAATTTGGAAAAACAGCTCAACGCAACAATGTGATAGATCCAAGTTGCTGAGGCTTGGTTTTGGCACATTACTCTGGATCCTAATTATATCTTAGAAATTCATTGAGTGGTTAGGCAAACCAGCGCGATTACATCAGCCATGAGTTGTTAGTTGCGTGCCATGGCCAATATACAAGTGATCTGATATCCTTTGCCAGTGACTGCAACAAAACTGAATGCAAGAGGCCTCTGATTTTCGAATGTCTGACCTACAAATATTCGGACTTACAAACGCAATCCCATACAAGGGTGTAAAGTTTCCTTGCGCTGATGAGCAGCTATTTTCTACAGTCCTGCATTGTGTTATGACTTGCAAAAGGACTCCAGAAGGAATCCATTCGCAATGCAGAGACTGACTGCACTGATTTCATACAGCCCGCCCCAACTCGTGCTCAAGACAACTGATTTCCGCTCCTCTATTGCCCGGCCAGTGACAGAATGCACTTCACAACATCACTGAAAAGAACCAACCACCGTTCATTCTCTCTTTTCGCGGCCCCCTCCTGCCTTGTTCTGAATGCTAAGAGCAGCAAGGAACTAGTCAACTATCCATTACTCCGAAGTGCCTGCTGCATTCTCTCCCTTTCCCTGACGTTCAGCAGTCATAGCCATCCACCAACGTGGGGCTCTGGTGAACTCCTAACTCTCAGATATAGCGACAACACTGGATCTCCTCATGATCCACTGATTGTGGAGAGTGCAAATGGTTCTGCCGGGGCATCGATCTCCAGGAATACATCGGTCCCACCACAGGCCCACAAAGCGGTGGAATGAGTCATTCACTCTCTGAGCTACTTCATCTCACTTACCCCACCCCAGTTCAGGGTCCTCGCGAGATCATTTCCTGTTCCCAGAGGAAGCACCGCCACAGGAGGCTGGGGGTTCAGCTGTAGTTGATCCAAAATGGACAGAATCCATCCCACCTGATAAGAAAAGGAGATGAAAAGTGGCAAAACGGTCAGCTGTTTATATGGGAGCACCTCTGCTGCAGGAAGTAGGTTAATCAGATTGCAAAATGTGTCTATCTGCCACTGATGTTAAGTTCACAAACTCCACACCTATTTAGTCAATAGCTGTACCATTGATTACTTGAAGTGGAAGCCCATCCTTGACATCTGTGAAGATTAAGCTACACGATACAGCTGATGATGTACAAGTAAGCTTTGGGTGCCGACAAGGTTTGGCCATTAACACCTTTATTAACTGGAACAATTCTGGGCAGATTCTTTAAAAAAAATTGGTTTGTAAACAGGAACACAGGAAGGCGGCTAGGTCATCGCACCTTGTGGCTGTTCTGTAAGGCAAGTAGATCAACGCTGCTCTATATCTTGCTCCATCTACCAGGCTTTATTCTATAATCTTTAAAACCTTTTAGAATTCATAAGTAGAGACTTGTGTTCTGCTTGTATTCCATTAATTCCCAATTTTAAGCAAGCTGCCCATTTTTAGTAAGATTATGTTTTCTTCAATTTCATTCATGGCCAGCATTTACTACCCACCTCTAAATACCCTCAAGGAGGCGGTAAATAAGCTGCCTTCTTGAACTGCTACAGGCTTTGCAGTGAAAGTGTTCCCACAATGCTGATAGGGATAGAATACCAATACTTTGACTCAGTGATACTGAACTGAACAGAAATACAAGTCATGATGGGATGTGACTGGGAGTGGAACTTGCAGCTGGTGGTATTCCCATACACTATATCCTGGTAGGGATTAGACGATGTGGGTTTGGAAGGTACTGTCTAAGGAGATTGGTGAGTTACATCTACTAGATGGTATACAGTGCTCTAAGTGTTGGTGGTGAAGGCAGTGAATGTTGAAGGTTATAGAGGGGCAAATGGAAAATACATTCCAATGGAAAAGTGCTATATTCCTTGTAGATGATGACTAGGCTTTGGGAAATCAGGTGGTGAGTTACCCATTACAAATCTCTGGCCTGCTCTTGTCGCCATCGTATTTATATGGCCAGTTTAGTACAGTTTCTGGTCAATGCTAACCCCAGGATATTAATGGTAGCAGATTCAGTGATTGAATGTTAAGGGGAGATGGTTAAATTCTCTCCCTTATTAGAGTTGGCCATTGCCTGACACTTATGTGTGAATGTCACTTATCATTTATCAGCCCATATTGTCCAGGAGTTCCTGCATATGGATACAGACTGCTATAACTATCTGAGGAGTCGCGAATGGTACTGAATGTTTTGCAATCATCAGGGAACATTCCCACTTCTAACCTTATGACGAAGGGAAGGTCATTGATGAAGCAGCTGAAGCTGGTTGGGCATTAAGCCTGAGGAACCCCTGCTGATTACCACATTCCATCCTCCCTTGGCAGATAAATTGGGACTCCTCCATGTTGAATGCCATGTGGAGGAAGCACTCTGGGTGGGGGATTTCAATGTCCACCACCCAGAATGGCTCAGCAGCAGTACTACTGATTGAGCTGATCGGGTCCTAGACTGGGCTGCTAGACGTGGTCTGCGGCAGGTGGTGAGGGAACCAACAAGAGGGAAAAACATACTTGATCTCATCCTTACTAATCTGCCAGCTGCATTTGCATCCGACCATGACAGTATCGGTAAGAGTGACCATCGCACAGTCCTTGTGGAGACGAAGTCCCGCCTTCACACTGTGAATATCCTCCATTGTGTTGTGTGGCACTATCATTGTGATAAATGGGTCAGACTTTGAATTCATGTTGCAACACAAAACTGGATTCTACATGGTGTGAGAAATAGCAGCAGCAGCGGAATTACATTCAACCAAATGTGTAAGCTCGTGGTCCGACATACACCCCCAGCCCTCGACTTTAACGTTACTATCAACCAGAGAGGTCAACCCTCATTCAGTGCAGAGTGTAGGAGGGCATGCCAGGAGCAGCACCAGGCATACCTAAAAATGATGTATCAACCTGGTGAAACTACAACACAGAAAAATTGTGTACAAAATACAGGGAGGATCATGCGATTAGTCAGAGCTAAGCAATCCCATCTGATCTTCAGGTCAGGCTTAAGCTCTGCACACCTAGTTGTAAATAATGGTGGATGATTAAATAACTGTCTGGAGGAGGTGGCTTCATAAATATCCCCATCCTCAATAACGGGGAGCACAGCACATTAGTGCAAAACACAAAGCTGAAGCATTTCCAGCCACCTTTAGTCAGCGACAGTGAGGCGATGATCCATCTCGGCCTCTTCCAGAGATCTCAGTCTTCAGCCAATACTGCAAAGGCTATGGGCCCTGGCAATAATCCGGTAATAATACTGAAGACATGCTCCTGGACTTGCCATGTTCCTAGCCCAGCAGTTCCAGTAGAACCACAACAAATCTGACTGACAGTGTGGAAAATTGCCCAGGTACGTCCCCTCCAGCGTTCCTTTTAATTTTCTTTCCGGCTGTGCTGATCTCTCAGGACAATGGACAGCGACGACCAGAATGCCCAGTCAATGCTGTGATTGGCATTCCGACACTGATCGCTGTGTGGGGAACCTGTGAGTGGCTATACACATGCATTCTTGTAGCTTAGAGGGAGTGTTTATCCCATCCACAAAACAAAAGGGATCAATCTAATCTGACTGCTTCCCAACTCGTGAATCTACTCCCAACCATCAGAACGTGATGGGAGGTCTAGTTGCCAGTGCTGTCAAGCGATAATCTCGCCAATAACTGGCGGTCAGTTTGGGTTCCATCAGGGCCCCTCAGCTCCTGATCTCACTGGTTCCAATATGGGCAAAGATCTAAATTCCAGAAGTGAGGGGAGACCATCAGTCCTTAACATTACAGCTGCATTCAACAGAGTGTGGAATCAATGGGAATCTGGTGGAAAACTCTCCACTGGTTGGAGTCATACCTGGCACTCAGGAAGATGGTTGAAGATCAGTCATCTCAGCTATAAGACCTCTCTATAGTCTTTCAATCGCGTTCATCAAAAGAGACAGTACAGGAGTATTACCATCTGCAATCACTAGAGACTGATCAAACCCTTCAACTTGCTTACATTCTTTTCATACCGAGTAGGGGTGGGACACACATGCTTTTAATGGGATCGGCATCTCTAACTGGAGCCAGGATTGCTTCATTAAATGGGATGGGGAGTTGACATTGACTCTTTAAAGGGAACTGTGGGGATGAGTGGAAATGCAGAAGCCTGAAATAGTTTGATTCGATAGAACCCAATCCGCATCTTCGAACACTGTTAGAAACAGCAAAAGCTGAGGTTGCACAGCATGGTTCTGCCATCTTGTGGCCACTGCCATCCATAGCCTGCTGCATTTCTGCATGTTTCCAAATTGTTCATGAACTATCCATCTCCCTCTCATGCCGCACTGGGATTCTTGGACAAGCAGTTTGGCAAATTCTAAATCTGCCAGGGGATTTGATATGTCAACATGTGATTAATCAGATGGTGTACTGTTGTGTTAGAGGTGTGTTTATACAGTGCTGATCAGGTGGTTCTCTCTCCCTGTCTGGAATCTCGGATTCTGGCAGTTTACTGAAGGGGTTAACAGCTGTTTGGTCAAGGTGTTTTGGGAACAGGATCGACATCAGGCTATAGCTGAGGTGAAGAGCAGCCAGCGTAAGTTTGCTTTAAGCATGAGCAATGAAGTGTTTAGCCTGTATTGATCTGGTGAGTGCTACACCAGCCTGGCTTTTCCATTCCTCATTGTACTGATGCATTGGGAGTGGGGTATAGCCGGGAGCGCGACTTGAGATATCCACACTTGCCTACCCAGTGTGATTTCATATAACTGTTTGCAGAGACTGGGATATATGAGCATGCCTATACATACAGCTCAGGCAGTCACGATAATGGGCACAGCAGGGTTTCCAGACACTTCTGACCCCCTTGCACCACCTCATACTCTTGTTCGTATAAAAGCCACATCCAGTACTACTGGGAAAAGTCAAGGAAGTCGGGATGCAGTTTAGACTGAAAAGATTCATAGAATCTGATAATGAAGTGGTTTGGAGTTTTGCTTTAATCTGCTGTTGCCTTTATGTATTTGGGTCTCAAAGCTAGCACTCCTCTCCCTCACCTTGCTTTAGATAACATTATCAATCAGTTTATAGTCAGAGCCAACTCTGACCCTCTTGTTTTTTTGGAAGACGAGAAGAATCTAAGGATTTCCGGGTAGTCCTGGAGCTGCTCAGCACCCAGTAGCCACCGTCCCAATACATCAACACTCCAATTGAGCTTCAGCGGCAGTTTACAGGGTTATTGGGGCTCCTGTGACCTGTAAACTATTTGAATGTGTTAAAACAATCTGCTAGTTGGCACCTTTCCAGAAGGTGTTGATGTTTGGCAGACACAGGGGGTACACTAAACTCAGCTCAATTCTGTCCTCACCTCTGAGGGGGCTTCTGCTCATGTAGATGGGTTAGCTTGGAGGTGGGAAGATAACTCAAATTAGCCAGGAAGGTGAAGTACACAAAGTATGCCGTTTTCTCCTGTTCTGGGCGGGAAGGCCTCTGGTCACTAATTGACCAGTCACTTGGCAGCAGGCAGACCGATCTCCACACGGCATTCCCGATGGCCTCTATCCTGCAGACACCAGGCACTGGACGTTGGGCAGGGGGCTGCTTACTGAAAGGCACGCCCCTGCCCTCGCTTCTGACCGCCTCTCCCTTGTCTCCACACCCGAGGGACCTCCTTTCACGGTGGTCCGCGTCGCTGGGACCCCAGCAGCAGCCTTACCCACCTCCTCCTGCTCCTCTGACCGTGGCCAGCAGCTGTTGCTTGGCGTGACCTCCGTCCCCAGGGTCGTGATTCGAGGGGAAGGCCTGGTGCTAGCCCCTGTCTGATTGGGCTGTGATTTGGTGGAAGAGGCAGGAGGAGATCTAACACTGCTCTCCGGCTGCCGAGACTCCTGACACCTCAACAAGATTCCCATTGAGAGATTTAAAAACAAACAGACACACATTTCCATAAACACACAGTCGAGTAGACATACATAGACAACAGACATAAACACACACAGCACCCACATACAACAGGCATCCAAGATGGCGGCCGAATAGGACTCCTGAGCTGGACTCCTCCGCTCCATCCATTTCTTATCTTCATTTTATTCTCTTTCCTTTTTTTTTGCCTTTCTTCTTACCTCCCGACCTCAGATGGCATTGGCAGCAGTGAGCTGAGTGAGCACGGACTCAACGTGAGGCCCAGCATGGACTCCCGGACTCCAGATGAAGCCCAGTTTGGACTCAACTGCTCTGCCTGCTTTTCTCTCCCTTGCTTTCTCTGCTCTAGGAGGACCGTAGTGCTGAGCTTGTAACTTTATTGCTTTACTTTCCTCATTTATATCTTAGATTTTGTACCTAGGCACTTTTGTACCTGAGACGGCACTGGAAATGGTGACTTTGTACACTTTTCACTGTACTCTTGTATCCCTGTACGTGAGTACATGTGACAATAAAACCTAATTCTAACATACAACTCGCCCCCCCACCTCCTGACACACACAGCCCCCAGGCACACAGCCACAAGCACACCTCCCCCAGGCATAAACCCCCCCCCCCC